AAGTATTCCCTGACCTGCACATCCAAACACAATTGGGTTTCCATGTCCTCAGGGAAACAACAAAAAGTAGAAGCCTTTTGTGGACCTCCTCACCAAGACAACTTGGGGAAAAAATAAGGGATGATTTGGTTCAATACCTAATAACCAAAAATAAATGGTTTCAAGGACAGCTTAATCACAATACTTTATTAGTCTATGACCAATATTAAAACACTTTTCTTTAAAAATGGCTCTCCCTCTAAATATACATCACTTATAGAATTACTACTTCTATATATTGTAGGAAAAGTCTAACACCTAATGTAAATAGTGAAAACACCTATATGGTTAAGAGAAGCAGATTCTGTATGTATAAACTCATGTTAGTCACATTAGAGTGGAATCAATGGGGCCATCCTCCACTCCTTGTGCCTGTCTCTATGCTTTTAGTGAGACAATATCTATTATATATACTTTGGTCAAGAAAATGCCTTTGATCTGACTAAATACTGTGCAACAAATTATGTTGCTATGAAAGTACATCCTAATTTGTTTTTAATAAAGAAAAACAACCAAAATTATAGGGATTCAGTCACTACTGGACCTGAGTCCTCACTATTACCAAAAAGAAATGTGACTGTACCCAAATTTGTTTGCATGTTGCTTTCTCTATTAAATACGGCCTTCCTTCACTTCTATAGCTCCTTTTTTGATCCTGACTTCTATAAACTTCATTTTCTCAGTCTAAAATTGTCAGTCAGCAGCCAACATGTAACATCAGAGATGTCCCAATGCAACTCTGACTCAACAGAAACAGTCCTCTACCTGGGGTGACAGAGGTATTACAACTGAAAGCTCATAGGTATAGGCTCTTAGAAAGTGGTGTTTCTACTTAAATACTAAGAGGGAGAGAAAGGAAGAATTTAATTACTAGGCTTTTTCAAAAAAAATTTATTATTTTGTTTTGAGACAGGGTTTCACTGTGTAGCTTTGCCTGTCCTGGAACTTGCTCTGTAGACCAGGCTGACCTCGAACTAATAGAAATCTGCCTGCCTCCACCTCCCAAGTGCTGGGATTAAAGATGTATGCCACCACTGCCCCACTTCTAATCATTTTCAGTAGATGTCAAAAGAAATGTTCCAAGTAAAATAGGGTAAATGGTTATCTTATTCTTTCCTGGTGACTATAACACCTTACTCCTACAATGAGTAGTTCTCAAAGAGCAGACTTTCATTTCTAACAGACTTAGAAGCTGGGCTATCCAATATCAAAGCACCTATAGATTCAGAGTCTGATGAAGACCCATTTCCTCTTGTGTCTTTACATGATATAGGGGACTAAAAAGGCTTAAAGTCCTCCCTTATACAATCCCTGACTAACTCCATTCACAAAGGCAAAGCACTTATGGTCTGATTATCTGCCAAAGGCCCCAGCTTATAATTTCTAGCACCTTAGAGCCTAGGCTTTGATGTATCGGTTGAGCACAGGAATTAAGATCAGAAGGTCATAACAATGTTTCTGACTTTCCACTTTGTATTAGTAGGGGTTCTTTAGAGCAGCAGAATCAATGGAATGAATATACATACATGTCAGGAAGCTAGACTCAAATGGAGACTTAAAAATGATGGACAAGAATAAGGCATGGTCCCAGACCATGGAGAAATGGGGAGAGAAGAAAAGTAGCTAAAAGATGGCCTTGAAAACCAGAATTTATGCTACCATAGTCTCTGTGACTTCATTGTGTACATTGGCTTTCCTATGACTAGCAGGCCTGTTTCCTTGTACACAGGTCTTTACTAAATGGGTTCCTAGAGCTGAAAGAAGTGAACATGCTCCATCTCTAACCCAGAAGCTATCTCCAATTGATAGTCATTTGCAAATGAAAAATAATTTTCTCCAAAGAAGTTTCACTGGGAAAACAAACTACTCTTAAGGGCAGGCCCCATGCCCAACAGAAGATAGCTAACAGAAAACAAACTCAACTGGATCATTGAGGGTTCTTTGTCTCATAATGTTTCGTCAGGGAATTTTTTTTTAACCTTACAGATCCTTTGCGTATATATTATGGCTTCTAGTTTTGTGTTTTCATGAGAGTCGTATGTGTGCAAATGTGTATGTCTCAGCATCTATATGTGTTTCTCATGCCTTTTTTCTTTGTTTTATCCTATAAAGATTTGTTTGCTTTTGTTTTATCTTATTTTATTTTCTTTCATCATTCCTCAGATGCCTGTTTGTTTTCTAATGAGAGACAGAAAGGGTAAGAATCCTGATGGGAAGGGAGGTGGAGAGGCATTAGGAAGAGCTGGGTGAGGGAAACTTAATCACAATATATGATATGAAAGAATCTATTTTTCAATAAAAGAAAAATATACATCAGAAAGTTGCAGGTACCATTATATTCCTTCTCAGGTCTTTGATGGGATTGAAGACTAGCAGTTATAGTTACAACTTAGTAGATAGAACAGATTCAGGTTCTTTAGGATAGGACAACTTTTGGAATGATCTTTGTAACATGCCATTTACCTATGCTCTATACTTCTCTGGATTTTAGTATGTGTTTCTTGCTTGGTATTGTTTGCATTGGTTGTAGTTCCATCTTATCTAGGTCATTATCCCTCATTATTCCTGGACAATATTTGCTAACCATTCCTTTGTATATAGTCTTGTATTAGGTTAGAACTTTCTTATTTAGACAAAAATGGGGAGATGTAGTGGGTAGCCATTCCAGCTTTGATCTGGAAGTTCCAACCCCCATTGAGACTTTGGCAACTGTCATGCCTACAAGGCAGGGCGAAGGGAGGCACCTGGAGACCCGAGATTGGATTGGCCAGCGCTCTCTCTGTTCTGGGACCCTGGACGGTGGAGGTGGGCCAAGCAGAGCTCCAGAGAACACCGCTGGACTGCAATACACCTTCCCCAGACCCTGCGACCTACCTATCCCTTAATTTGTAAGTTACGCCATTAAATAAATCTCCTTTGAACTATGTGGAGTGGCCTTAATAATTTCACCAATAGAAAGTAGGACTCAAGATACGTTATTGATAATAAAAACTATTGACTCAGAAAATAAAGTCATCTCTTTACTTTTGTTTACAATTCCTTGATCTCTCACAAGATACAAGATGCACATAGAGCCTAGATATAATTTCCTTTCTCATAGTTATACATAAAATTGTATGCTTTCTGGATATTTTTATGGTTATGCATACTCTCTGTTAAGAATTTTAAAAGCATGTAAGAACATTGTCTTCTCCAAAACTAAACCTTCTACTCAGAAGAACTACCCATTAGAATCTTTTTTATGTGTGGTCTTTCTATTCTTCAGTGGTGTAGCTGCAGATACGCCACCCTTTGCCCTTGCTCACTAACCTCCCACCCACGCGGAGCGAGTAACTCCTCTTAGAGTCTGTGAGCCACATGCAAAAAGAGGACATGAAGGTAGAAGGGAAACTTCTCGAGAAAGGTTCTAGACAGAAACTGAGTGGGAAAAGGGAAGGGAATGGAGGAGTGAATTTGACTAAATTTATTGTATATGTGTATGATACTGTAATTAAAACAAACAAATAAATCTATGAAATAAAAAATGTTTCAGGTGTGAATAGGTTTTGAAGCTGAGCCTGGGTCAGTACTGGGCAACCGTTGACTGGATATTGAGCCACTGGGTGTTTGTCTAATTGTTACTGAAGATACTGGGACAGGCTGTAGTTAGTCTCTAGATAGATTGCAAAATACCAGATTTGTCGAGAGTTGGAAGTAGACACTGGTAATTATCTGGACCTTTCTCTAATCTGGTGATTTCCACCACAATTGCCTGCCTAGCCTCAAGGCTTTACTTTCGACAAAAATTAACACCTTCTGTTTATATAAATCTTAGCTAAGCATTGGCCCTTTACAATGAAGACTGACTTTCCTAAGTTTCAGTAGATTTTTTTTTTTACAGTAAAGTGGAGGCAAATAAAACAAAAGAAAATGTTTAAGCTTGTCATAAGTTTTATCTCATATGGTGGGAACTGGATTGAAACCAGAAACTTTAGAAGGATGCTTAGTACAATGGAGAGAACTCTTGACTGAATGTGCTTAGGACAACAGTGTACTTCATAAGTTTTTCTCTCAGCTGTTCTTAACAGTAACAGTGCCTTGTCATCGCTAACAGATTCCCCGAGTCTCTTAGTCAATCTCATAACAGTTGATCTTCCCAACTCCAAGTTTCAAGCATATTTCAAAGTCATTATGATTTTCTTTATGCTTGTATGCCATGTACATTTAGTGGGTCATGTATGACATATCAAGTTAAGCTCATATATTTGTTCTGATTTAAGAATTTTTCTGACATTACTACCCAATAATAATATAATACTGAGTAAGTCATATCAAAAGCCTCTTTTGGCTGTTTATCCATTCTAGTGATGTCTACTAAAGCACAAAATAAACAGTCGGGAGTTGCAGGCTTTACCAAACCATATCATTGATTCAGAGAGAAACCTTCATAGCGAGTGTTTGTTTGTTTTCTCAGAAATAGTTTTGTAAGTAATTTAGAAAACATGAAGCCAAAGTGGAGATGAATATCCAAGCCTCTTAACTTGGACTCTGTGGTGTCTGTGCTCTGTACTCTGATAAATGGATAGACGTGTGCTCTGACTTCTATCCACTGAATATTGAGAGATAGAAGAATAGCATTGCACATGGCTCTAAAAACAAACAAGCACTCCCTCCAAGGCTCAATCTTGGTGTGGCTTTCCATTTGAAGCGAAATCAATACAGTTCTTTGTTCTTTAAGACCATCACAACTGCAGTAGCCCATCTCTGTTCTATATGAGACGAACACCGGATGCCAACATTATTTCACAATGATGGCTGAATCAAGAAAAAAAAAAAAAAGCCGGATTTCGAGAGCCTGGGCAAAGGCATGAAGGTATAGCCCCTTCCACTCCCTCTCTTTGCCAGCATGCCCCTCCCCCTCCCCTTCACCTCTCTGCACTTCTGCACCTTTCCTCTCCTGCCTCCTGGTGGTGCTCTCAGCCATGTCTGTGTCTGGGACCCAGATCCATGTGAACCCCTTGCAGTCCCTACCTACTCACCCTGGAGGGGGATGATGTGGAGACCTTCAACCATGCCCTGCAGCATGTGGCTTACATGAACACTCTGCGCTTTGCCACACCCGGCGTCAGGTCGCTGTGCCTCATCACCACTGTTAAGTGCTTCAGTGAAGAGTCCTGTGTCTCCATCCCTGAAGTGGAAGGCTATGTGGTGGTCCTTCAGCCTGATGCCCCCCAGATCCTTCTGAGTGGTACAGCTCATTTTGCCCGCCTTGCCGTGGACTTTGAGGGACCCGAGGGGGTCCCCTTGTTCCCGGATCTTCAGACCACCTGCTCCATTTCCCACCAGGTGGAGGCCAAAGCAGATGAGAGTTGGCAGGGCACAGTGACAGACACACGCATGTCAGATGAGATTGTACACAACCTGGACGGCTGTGAAATTTCTCTGGTAGGAGATGACCTAGACCCTGAGCAAGAAAGCCTGCTCTTGGACATGGCGTCCTTGCAGCTGCGAGGCCTGGAGCTCGCCAACACATCTGCCCTACCTCACCATTGCTGGGGTGGAGACCATCACTGTGCATGAAGGGATTCTGAGGCATGCTCGTTACCAGCTGCGGCATGGAGCTGCCCTGTATGCCAGGAAATTCAGGCTTTCTTGCTCAGAGATGAATGGCCGCTATTCCAGCAACGAATTCATTGTGGAGGTCAACGTCCTGCATAGCATGAACCAGGTGGCCCACCCCAGCCACGTGCTCAGCTCACAGCAGTTCTTGCACCGGGGTCACCAGCCTCCTCCTGAGATGGCTGGACACAGCCTGGCCAGCTCCCACCGGAACTCCATGGTCCCCAGTGCGGCTACGCTCATCATTGTGGTATGTGTGGGCTTCCTGGTGCTTATGGTCATTCTCAGCCTAGTGTGGATCCACTTCCTTCACCGCCGCGTCTCAGGAACTGGCGGACCCTCAGGGGCTTCCCCTGACCCGAAAGACCCTGACCTCTTCTGGGATGACTCTGCTCTCACCATTATCATGAACCCCATGGAGTCCTATCAGAACCAGCAGGCCGGTGTGGCAGGGGTTGCTGGTGGCCATCAAAAGAAAGAGGACAGCAGTGACTCAGAGGCAGCCCACTCCCCCAGAAGCAATGAGAGACGCATCATGGAGAGCCCCCCACACCACTACTGAGGCTCCAACCCTGCCTAGAGGGAGGTCTGCCCTGGAGAGACAGGCACCCAGGAAAGAAAGGGAGAAAGGCATTCCGAGAGAAGAAGAGAGACCAAGGGAGACAGCGCTCTTTACGCAGCGGAGGGCTCCTTCACTGTCAGAACCCAGCAGGCATGGGGGCTGCCCCCCTCCTCCAGCCTGCCCCTACCTTGGGCTGCCCTTTCCCTGGCATTCTGAGGCGTCTACCCTAGCTGGCTGCACTGGGAGAGGCTGGGTGACTTTGGCTGCCAGTCATGCACTGTATTGGGGAGGGGGACATTAACAGCCATGGTTGAGGTGGGAATGGGGTTGATTAGGAGCCTGCTGTGTGCCCATCCTATTCTGTCCTGTCCATTGGGCCTCCCTGCTTCCCTTAGGGTCCCTCGCCCCTACTGCCATTTCACTCTGGGGATCCCTGCTCCCCCCTCTCTTGTCCTCTTTTCCTCTCCTGCCTGACCAGTCCCAAGGTCCTAAGGTCCCCGTCCCTTTCTACATGGCCTGCTTGTGCCTAGGTTGTGGGGAAGGAGGAGGAGCGGGGGCCCCGGGTGTATTATATATAGTGTATATTTTTTCAGTGTTGTCGTGAGCACAGCTCCTGTGTTTCTGTGTGCAGCTCAGAGCCGTGTGTGTGTGGCGGGGGGGGGGGGGGGGGGGGGGGGGGGGGGGGGGGGGGGGGGGGTATTGTCATGTCCTGGGTGAGGGTAGGGGATGAGTGTGGTAAAGGAGGGGACACACCCTGGGGTTTTCAAATAAAACAACCAGAAAAGAAAAAAGAAAGAGAGAGAGAGAGAAAGAAAGAAAGAAAGAAAGAAAGAAAGAAAGAAAGAAAGAAAGAAAGAGAAAAAGCCATTTGTAAATTTTAGAATATCAAAGCTCTAAGGGTACGGAAGCCAATTCCTGCAGGACTTCTGCTAACGCAGACTCATAGCTCTGCAGCTGGTCAGGCTGTCTTCCTGTCTTCACATACCTCTGACCAGACAAGTTAGCTTCCCGTACTAGTAAGGACTTTGTGTTCTTTGCATCTGTTCATATAAGGCTTTTACTTCTGTCAGAGACTTCTACTCCCTACTTAATCTACCAAATGGGATTATTGCTTTCAATATATATATTCTGAGCCCCAATACAGCACTCATTTACACCTCTTATATTCTGGTTATTAAAACATGTAAGCACCTATGACAGCCCAGAGTAAACATCTGTGTATGAAAACAGGATCGTTCATTTCCATGACAACAAAGTGTCTAGCTCAAGACTGACATGTGGCTAAAAAAAAAAAAAAAAAAAAGCTATGTATTTTCTAATTTTCTTGTCCCAATGTTACTCATTAATGACTATGTGGGTCCCTTGACCTCTGGTGACAATCCAAAATGAAGTCCACTTGTTTTATCTTTAAAGTGAAGCCTCAAATCTACCCAGTTCTCACGATCTTTCTCCTTTGGGGTGTCAGAATCCTCTTTATGAACTAACACTCCATCTACACTCTTCAGTTAACTAATTCTATGTACAAAGCTAGAAAAGAAAACCACGAAAAATTCTAAATATGTTTGCTGCTTGTTAGAATACATAGTATCTTTTTACTTTACTTTGAATAACATTTCAGTAGATAACCCCCCTATCCTCCTAGTCTCACTGGGGACCACTAACTCTTCCTCCCTCTAGCCCTGCCACAGAGGCCTCTTTTCAACCCTGTGAGAGACATTGGTGTTCTCTCGAGACCTTTGTTAACACTGCTGACATGCCTGGAAGGTTCTTCCCCAGCACTTCATAGAACCCCTTCCTTCTTCCCTGGCACACGTAGATCACACCTGCTTTGTCTCAGCAATGTTTTCCTCTTCTTCGTAGAATATACTTTAGCAATCCTGTCACAATACTTTTCACCTTAGTCACGAAATGGGGAATCCTTATTTTCTGTATTACTCCCATGTCATTTCCTCTCTGTCTTGATTACGAATACTGAGACCCTGTATATATCACTGTATACATCATTCTTTCTCATTGTGCATCAGCACCCAGCACCATTTCCTGGCACATGGAAAGCACTAAAATATTTTCTCCAAGTAAAATTTGGATATTGGTATGTGCTAGATGGTGGAAATTCCAAGTAAAGTTGAAGTCCACATCCTTTGGCAATGTCTCTGGGTCCAATGGCATCATTTTAGTAGCTTGAACTGAACAATGGTGCAACACTTTGTTTTTATTTTAATTATGTATATGTCTGTAGAGGGGATTCACATGAGTGCAGATACCCCAAATGCCAGAATAAGGTGTTGGATTCCCTGAAGCTGGAGTTACAGGCAGTTGTGGGCTGTCCAATCTGAGTGTTGGGAATCACACTCCAGTCCTCTACAAAAGTAGTATATACTCATAACCTCTGAGCAATCTCTCCATCCATAGGAATTACTGTTTAATGAGTCAAGAAGTACAGGTCAGGATGATGAGACAGTATTAGAGATAGACAGTGGTGGGTTTTTTTTGCATTCAGTATAAGAGTACTTAAAGTCACTCAATTAAAATAGTTGAAAACTTAAAATGATTAGAATAGCAGATTTCATGTTGTCTATTTTAATATGGTGAAAATAACATTATAAGAGATATAAATCTTCAGATGCTGTAGAAGGTATAAGGACTAGCAGTTGGGTTTGGAGAGATTCTGGGCCGGGAGATTTTTAAACACTTTATAGAAGTGGCATCAAACAGAAAGAAAGGACAGAAGAAAGCACAAGTACCAAGGAAAGGACACAGGAGTGCACAGTCAGCCAGGATGAGTCTGGTGAGGGTAAGACAGAGATGGGTTGAACTGTGCACTTAACAGCCTATGCGCCCTGTATTTGGTTATGCAGTAGGCTAGAGCATCACTGAAAATAGCCCCTGTTCTAGTACCACCAATTTCAGACAAGGCCTTGAAATTAACAGTGAACTAAAAGGTGAGAATTTTTATCAAAGAACTAAAGACAGAGTTGTAACAGTGGTAATGAAAACCAACATGACCTTTTTATGAGAAGTCTGAATCCAAAACTCAACACCCAGAAGCTGGCACAGGAAGAGCTGGAACTTTATCACCCAAGCATCATATCCCCCACTAAGCCTGGAGGGATACTTGGTTCTTCCTTGGCTTAAAGTATTTCAAGACTTAATTTTTAAATCTTATTACATTTTCTTCTCCATAGTATGTTCCAAAACTGGTTTTTAGGCCAGAGATCAACACTTAAATTTGAATAGTTAGGGATTGAAAAGATGGCTCAGTAGTTAAGAACACGTACTGCTCTTGCAGAGGAACCAGGTTTGGTTCCCAACACCCACATGGCAAATTACAACAACTTGTAACTCCAGCTCCAGGGCATCCAACCTTCTCCTGGCCTCCACAGGCTTCTTGTATATACGTGGTGCACATAAACTCACACAGGCCCGTACACATAAATATACTAAAAAGTATTTTTAAATTTTCATAATTAATTGTATATCTATTAAGACTTAGGCAATGAAACTTAACTGTTATTGCCTGCTATCTGCCATAGGAAGCTGAGCACAATATAGACATGATATACTGAAACTGTGATTCAGCACGGCCATGTCAACACCAAAAAGTATGAAATGGAGTATCTGACACCCAAAGCTATGGAGTAGCTATGCAGACTAGGACTTCATTAATCTACCTATGTGCACTAGGATGGCTATGTGTCTGTGCTAACACCCTCCCATAGATGAACTTATACAGACAAGGTCTCATACACCAGGGGTTCTGAATAAATGAAGTAATGAGTTGTCAAAAATGGATTTTAAACAAACAAACAAAAAAAAGCTTTTTAAAGCTAGGGTAGCGGCTCAGCTGATAAAGTACTTGTCACCCATGCATGAGGATTCGAGTTGGGATCCCCAGTACCTACATAAAAGCCAGACACACTGGGAAGAAAAACCAGGTAGATTTTTGACCAACTGACCAGTCGTCTTGCTGGTTGGTGATAGCCGTGTTCAGTGAATGTCTCGAAGAGTGAGGTATAAAGCAATATTGGAAGATACCAGCATCAACTTCTGGCCCCTACATGCATTTATACATACACAAGAACATTCACACATGAGAGAGAGAGAGAAAGAGAGAGAGAATTGAAAACAAAAACGCTTCATTTATTTCATTGCAAGGCTTAAACACCATCTGAGGTCACCTGTAAGCCTTGGAGTGAAGTAAAAGCCTTTCTTCTGAACAAAAACAATTTCAGATTTTACCATTTATTTCCTTTCACATGTCATTTCACTCTGCCCATCCTGCTACTTTTTTTTTTCTCTCCACCATTATAATCTGCATGGGAGCCTCATTTAGTTAAACATTCTCCACCCAGTTTCTTAGGAGGGCAGAGGTTGCTTCTGTCTTTGGGGTTTGCTTTTCCCATAAGTATGTTGTTAAAAACTATATTCTTCTCTCATATCAAAACCCAGTCCATTTTTTTTCTAATTTTAGTTTCCCTCTGTGAAGAGCAACCTGCAATCAAAATTTTGGCATATAACATATTATAGGGCTTTTCATTTTATGAATGTGGCTGCTAAGCTTGGGCATATAATATGGAAAGTTCCAAACATTTTCATAGCAACATGCTTTTCTTCTTTGTCCTCCTTTTTCCCGTCACAGAGTAAGTCCATTTCTATTCCTGTATGTACCAGTTCCTGTGTGTTCCCTAGGATATTTTATGCTTCATGGGAGGAGATTAAGTTTAGTATACTACTTCATTCAAAACACATTTGTGGACAGGCAGCTGTGAATCAAGCACTAGACTATTGCTTGGAGATATAGCAAAAGATATATACATTATGGAACTAAATTTCATTTCTGCTCCTTGATAGGTGAGTTAAACTAAAACGCACCACCAAATAATGCCTCATCTTGAAGGTGATGGGCGATTTTAGTTATATCACTAAAGGGGATAACTTCTCATTATTCCCTTTTGAGTCTCTAACAGAGAAAAACTGCAAGAGTCATTGCTGCAAATCTG